ACCATTGGTGTATCTCACATCGATGTGAAACCCATTACTGTAATCAAGTGGCTACATGTAGCCACTTGCGTGTAACCCCGTTACAGTCTCTGTGCCCACTCAAAAGATCGACAAAGCGCGTTGCCGGATTAAGGACCTTTTGGCAGTAGCAACATGCTAATCAGTAAGCTGGTTGGAAGCCCACGCTACATATCCACTTGTTTTCCTAGCAGCATGATCAATCTAACAAAATGTCCAGTTGTTTGCCTCGACGTTTCACAAACCACACGAGCGCAGATGTGTGCCTGCCGATGTACGGGAGGACTTGGTATGGTTCCGTGTAGTACTTATTGTCGAACATCAGTTTAACTCCATTCCAATCAAGCATTTCGCGAGATCCAGCTCCCAACTTACCACGTCATGATGGACGCATCGGATACCGGTATCCGCGCTCTCGAGCCAAAACTCCATCAGTATATCCGACTTCAATTGTACGTGATGGTTTCGCCACCTCAAAGAAAGACAACGCGATCAAGCGCCTGTCGCCGCCCATACACAAACTTCAGCCCGTTAAGACTGCGTTTCTACGTCTACTACATCGACAAATCGATTTAGAGCAGCGGGTGCAGTGTATTTTGTGGGGCGCAGGCCTGATAAGCTTCTTCTTCTTACTTCGACGCTTGGAATACCTGAAAATTGGATCTACGCGTCACTTCTACTGCCTAAAGCGCAAAAATGGCTTCTTCTTCGACTCGAATGGCGTACCAACAACTGGGGTGGCAGCAACTCCCGTCACGATAGGAGTTGAGAGATCGAAGAACGACCAGTACGAACGTCGTGCATGGCGCACATTACAGAAGTCAGCAGATCCGATTATCTGCCCAGTCGCTGCATCGAAACACGTGCTGCTCGAGAAATAATTGCAGACGAAAATATCATCCTGTGCGGTGAGGCTACCTCAGCGGACGTCGCAGCGATACTCAAGGAAACAGCTACTAGTGCCGGAGTCTCCGCTGTCAATTACTCAACGCATTTCAACAGAATCAGAGACGCCACAGCACTTCTTATATGTGAAGCCAGTCGACTATCGATCAAGCCGCTAGGGCGTTGGCTTTCGAACTGTTTTAGCATTATCTGGTCCAAGCTGCAGAGTCAACACGATCACTCTCTCGACGGATGGTAACCGGATGACCAAAACCAGGCCGCACTTATGAACGCGCTCACAATTTCGCTTTGGGGTCGCTCATCACGCCCTTCATCATCGCTGGTCTGGCAAACAAACACTTTTCCCCAACATGACTAAGGCCTCGCCACGGAAACAGAACCGTATATGGAACTAAACGGACATGCAAATACCGAGGGTATCGTGAAGGCGAGAGAATGACACTATCGCCCCCACAAGAACTTTCAGTTTGTCCATGTTTGTGTAGTTCCATATAGGACCTACCGGTGATAGCATTCAATCGCGGCTTACAAAAGGAACTTGGGTATGGGCTAGCCCTTCATCTGCACTGCTGTCTAAAAGTTGAGTACTACAGTTATAGATGAAAAGCAGAAAAAGGCTTTGGTGTCAAGAAACGGACAAAATCGGTTTTGCTGCGAACATCTAGTCGCAACATTATGTGCCGGACAGCAGTCCAACCCATGACAGAAGCACGCTAAGTGAATGTATCGCATGCTAGAATTTTAACGCATTTACATGCTTTAGCTGCAAAATGGCTTTTGTGTTATTCCCAGTTGGGTTCTCAAAGAAATGTTATTGACGCCCTCTGGCAGCAACATCCGCTTCATTACTAAAATCTGTCACCCGCTGCAGTAATGTTCGCATCTAAACAGACGGTACCCTCGGTAGTACCCCTCAACAGCAATAAGTTAGCATGAGATGGCCATCACTCCGCATGAACTCTTGACCCACGAGAGCTGCAACTTGGATATTGGATGCTTGAATCAGACTTCGAAACTTCCCTAGCTTCGAGTTTATCCAGTACTCCAGCATAGTGCAGGTGGAAACATCGGGTCGCCCGAAGGCTGCATACTCCACTATAAACTCGGATACCGTCTTGATGAAGTCGCAGACGGTTGTATTGTTGAAACATTTTGCGAAGTACATCAGATAGTAAAAGGCACCGACAATCTCTCCGATTTTGGCTGGCGTGTTCGCAGGTTGGAGGGAGTTGGAGCGCCCGAAGTTCGCCATATTAACAGCGTCTGGGGTATGCTGCTCCTCGACCCCTTCGAAGAAACGTCGGAAGTGTATAAGGGAGAAGCCTCTGATATCAAAACTGAGGTCATATGCCGCGCGGAGAACTGGTGGTATAGCGAGAAACCTGGTGTGTCGGGCTTGTTGAGTAGCTTCAAGAACAGCTTGAGCGTTTTTACCTAACGTTGCGGGTTGCGCGATGGCGTTGCAAATTTGACTCTCGACTTGTGAAGGCCGGAACATCGACGAGTGAATGTCCGCTCGCGTCTCCAATGTCGGAACGTCAGCATCGCTTGTCATGAATAGTTCCTGAATCTCTGTGTCGGCGTATCGCGCTCGTTTGTGTAGAGGCCAGTTCTGAAGACGATGTCCGCTAGCCTCTTGGTGTTATCACTGGCGTTTCCTTCGTAATCTGAACCACCGAATGTTAAATCAACGTCGTTCGTCGAAAGGTTTGGCATTGTTAGTTATGGAGTCTGAAGCAGCCTCCTTCTCTGCCAGTACAGGGTCCTTGAACACATCAGCTGGGAAAGTGACCTAACCTCAGCCGACTTCAAGTTTCAATGCCTCCATACAAAAAATCTAGAATCTAGATATCCTTTCCTGATACAGGTTAAGTTTTTTTTTTATTGTATCGTGCCTGATACAAGCTGTCACGTTTTTT